ACCCCACCCACTGACTACCCCATCTACTGACTACCCCACCTACTGACTACCCCATCTACTGACTACCCCATCTACTGACTACCCCACCTACTGACTACCCCATCTACTGACTACCCCATCTACTGACTACCCCACCTACTGACTACCCTACCTACTGACTACCCTACCTACCTACTGACTCCCCTACCTACCTACTGACTACCTTACCTAGTCACTGACTACCCTACCCACCTACTGACTACCCTACCTACATACTGACTACCTACCTACTGACTACCTACCTACTGACTACCTTACCTAGTCACTGACTACCCTACCTACCTACTGACTACCTACCTACTGACTCCCCTACTTACCTACTGACTACCCCACCTACTGACTACCCTACCCTGCCTGCTGTACCTGACTCCCGTAGCGCCAGGCCCTGCGATGTTTGTCGGCGGTGCCATTCGGCACTGCGAGTCAAGCGATGAGTTTCCCTGCCCCGGTAAATTCGCGACTCGCCACTTCCATTCCCGGCGGCTGTTGATGTGGCGGCGGCGAGGAGCCACTCTCCATCTGGAGCCTCGCGGCTCACGAGGTTCAACCAACACCCGAGCGCTGTCGGTGCCTTGCGGAGCGGCGGTGATCACAACAGCCTTGCATCCCCCCCCCCTTATGGGTTTCTGAATCGTTAAAACAGTTGTTTACAATGTGAATGAAGCGCGGAGGGTTTGATTAAACGAGGTAAAGTTGTCGATGATTTTGACCTGCAATGTGGCCGTGACTCGCTACCCGTGTTGAGAACCGCTGCTGGGCACAGCCCTTTGGCGGTGGTGGGGGTGATTAGACTATGCCCCAGCCAACAGGGTGACGGTGAGCTGGTAAAGTGTGGGGTGAGAATGATGGCGGGGGGGGGGGAGCTCAGATCAAGGGTTTAGTTATCACAAATCGTTGACATTGAAGACTCGGTGTTTTTTTACTGCTTGTTGTTTTTGTTGTGTTCAATTTGACTCCCCCCCGTAACTCCTAATGGCACGGTTGGCTACGTATGGTGCGAAAAAAGTTAAACATACATACATACACAGACTCACACAGAGACCCATAGACTCACACAGATACCCATAGACTCACACAGAGACCCACAGACTCACACAGAGACCAATAGACTCACACAGAGACCCATATACTCACACAGAGACCCATAGACTCACACAGAGACCCATTGACTCACGCAGAGACCCATAGCCTCACACAGAGACCCTTAGACTCACACAGAGACCCATAGACTCGCACAGAGACCCATAGACTCGCACAGAGACCCATAGACTCACACAAAGATCCATAGACTCACACAGAGACCCATATACTCACACAGAGATCCATAGACTCACACAGAGACCCATAGACTCAGATACAGACACAAACTCACACAGAGACCCATAGACTCACACAGAGACCCTTAGACTCACACAGAGACCCATAGACTCGCACAGAGACCCATAGACTCGCACAGAGACCCATAGACTCACACAAAGATCCATAGACTCACACAGAGACCCATATACTCACACAGAGATCCATAGACTCACACAGAGACCCATAGACTCAGATACAGACACAAACTCACACAGAGACCCATAGACTCACACAGATACCCATAGACTCACACAGAGACCCATAGACTCACACAGAGACCCATAGACTCACACAGAGACCCATAGACTCACACAGAAATCCATAGACTCACACAGAGACGCAGACTCACACAGAGACACAGACTCACACAGAAACGCATAGGCTCACACAAAGCCACACAGACTCACACAGAGACCCATAGACTCACACAGAGACCCATAGACTCACACAGAGACCCATAGACTCACACAGAGACCCATAGACTCACACAGAGACACAGACTCACACAGAGACCCATAGACTCACACAGAGACGCAAAGACTCGCACAGAGGCACAGACTCACACAGAGACCCATAGACTCACACAGAGACCCATAGACTTACACAGAGACACAGACTCACACAGAGACACAGACTCACACAGAGACCCATAGACTCACACAGAGATCCATAGACTCACACAGAGACCCATAGACTCATTCAGAGACACAGACTCACACAGAGACCCATCGACTCACACAGAGACCAATAGACTCACACAGAGACCCATATACTCACACAGAGACCCATAGACTCACACAGAGACCCATTGACTCACGCAGAGACCCATAGCCTCACACAGAGACCCTTAGACTCACACAGAGACCCATAGACTCGCACAGAGACCCATAGACTCGCACAGAGACCCATAGACTCACACAAAGATCCATAGACTCACACAGAGACCCATATACTCACACAGAGATCCATAGACTCACACAGAGACCCATAGACTCAGATACAGACACAAACTCACACAGAGACCCATAGACTCACACAGAGACCCTTAGACTCACACAGAGACCCATAGACTCGCACAGAGACCCATAGACTCGCACAGAGACCCATAGACTCACACAAAGATCCATAGACTCACACAGAGACCCATATACTCACACAGAGATCCATAGACTCACACAGAGACCCATAGACTCAGATACAGACACAAACTCACACAGAGACCCATAGACTCACACAGATACCCATAGACTCACACAGAGACCCATAGACTCACACAGAGACCCATAGACTCACACAGAGACCCATAGACTCACACAGAAATCCATAGACTCACACAGAGACGCAGACTCACACAGAGACACAGACTCACACAGAAACGCATAGGCTCACACAAAGCCACACAGACTCACACAGAGACCCATAGACTCACACAGAGACCCATAGACTCACACAGAGACCCATAGACTCACACAGAGACCCATAGACTCACACAGAGACACAGACTCACACAGAGACCCATAGACTCACACAGAGACGCAAAGACTCGCACAGAGGCACAGACTCACACAGAGACCCATAGGCTCACACAGAGACCCATATACTCACACACAGACCCACACAGAGACACAGACTCACACAGAGACCCATAGACTCACACAGGGACCTATAGACTCACACAGAGACCCATATACTCACACAGAGACCCATATACTCTCACAGTGACAGAGACTCACACAGAGACCCATAGACTCACACAGAGACCCATATACTCACACAGAGACCCATAGACTCACACAGAGACCCATAGACTCACACAGAGACCCATAGACTCACACAGAGACACAGAGACTCACACAGAGACCCATAGACTTACACAGAGACACAGAGACTCACACTTAGACACAGAGACTCACACAGAGACACAGACTCACACAGAGATCCATAGACTCACACAGAGACTCACAGACTCACACAGAGACACAGACTCACACAGAGACACATACTCACACAGAGACCCATAGACTCACACAGAGACCCATAGATTCACACAGAGACCCATATACTCACACAGAGACACAGATACTCACACAGAGACACATAGACTCACTTAGAGACACAGAGACTCACACAGAGACACAGAGACTCACACAGAGACCCATAGACTCACACAGAGACACAGATACTTACACATAGACACAGAGACTCACACAGAGACACAGAGACTCACACAGAGACACATAGACTCACACAGAGACACAGAGACTCACACAGAGACACAGATACTTACACATAGACACATAGACTCACACATAGACACAGAGACTCACACAGAGACACAGAGACTCACACAGAGACACAGAGACTCACACAGAGACACATAGACTCACACAGAGACACAGACTCACACAGAGACACATACTCACACAGAGACCCATAGACTCACACAGAGACCCATAGACTCACACAGAGACACAGATACTTACACATAGACACAGAGACTCACACAGAGACACAGACTCGCACAGAGACACATACTCACACAGAGACACAGAGACTCACACAGAGACCCATAGACTCACACAGAGACACAGATACTTACACATAGACACAGAGACTCACACAGAGACACAGACTCACACATAGACACAGAGACTCACACAGAGACACAGAGACTCACACAGAGACACAGAGACTCACACAGAGACACAGACTCACACAGAGACACAGACTCACACAGAGACACAGAGACTCACACAGAGACACAGATACTTACACATAGACACAGAGACTCACACAGAGACACAGAGACTCACACAGAGACACATAGACTCCCACAGAGACACAGAGACTCACACATAGACACAGACTCACACAGAGACACAGAGACTCACACAGAGACACAGAGACTCACACAGAGACACATACTCACACAGAGACACAGAGACTCACACAGAGACACAGAGACTCACATTGATATTCGATTATTACGGTCAGGGCTACCGCGGGGGTTTGCCGGGTTCAAGGCGGTGGTGCTCTCGGGGGTCGGGCCACGTCTCGCTAATTTGCATTCCTCCTCGAGCATTCACTCGCAGCCTCCTCTTCCTGCTCGCGTGAATCCCAGAGCGCGCGCCTCTCCCCGTCATTTTCACACCGTAACCCCTTTCCCCTGACCCCCCCCCCCCACCGCCTCCCACAGCCCCCCCCAACCCCCCCCCCACCGCCTCACCCCCAACCATCTCCCCCACAACATAAATAACAACAACAACATAAATAACAACAACCTACTCGGGCCGATTCTAACTCCCCACGCAGCCTCGTCCTAACCAACAGCGAAGGTGGAGGCTCGTTCCGCGAACCTGTCGCATACAGCCCTAGCAGCAGCAGCTGCAGCAGCAGCTACAGCCCTACAGACCTAGCAGCAGCAGCAGCTGCAGCTACAGCCCTACAGACCTAGCAGCAGCAGCAGCAGCCCTAGCAGCAGCTGCAACTACAGCCCTAGCAGCAGCAGCTGCAGCTACAGCCCTAGCAGCAGCAGCAGCAGCTACAGCTACAGCCATAGCAGCAGCTACAGCCCTAGCAGCAGCAGCAGCTACAGCCCTAGCAGCAGCAGCAGCTGCAGCCCTAGCAGCAGCAGCAGCAGCTGCAGCTACAGCCCTAGCAGCAGCAGCAGCTGCAGCTACAGCCCTAGCAGCAGCAGCAGCAGCAGCTGCAGCTACAGCCCTAGCAGCAGCAGCAGCAGCTGCAGCTACAGCCCTAGCAGCAGCAGCAGCAGCTGCAGCTACAGCCCTAGCAGCAGCAGCAGCAGCAGCTGCAGCTACAGCCCTAGCAGCAGCAGCAGCTACAGCTACAGCCCTAGCAGCAGCAGCAGCAGCAGCAGCTGCAGCTTCAGCCCGAGCAGCAGCAGCAGCAGCAGCTGCAGCCCTAGCAGCAGCAGCAGCAGCTGCAGCTACAGCCCTAGCAGCAGCAGCAGCAGCAGCAGCTGCAGCCCTAGCAGCAGCAGCAGCAGCTGCAGCTACAGCCCTAGCAGCAGCAGCAGCTGCAGCCCTAGCAGCAGCAGCAGCTGCAGCTACAGCCCTAGCAGCAGCAGCAGCTGCAGCTACAGCCCTAGCAGCAGCAGCAGCTGCAGCTACAGCCCTAGCAGCAGCAGCTGCAGCTACAGCCCTAGCAGCAGCAGCAGCAGCAGCTGCAGCTACAGCCCTAGCAGCAGCAGCAGCAGCAGCTGCAGCCCTAGCAGCAGCAGCAGCAGCTGCAGCCCTAGCAGCAGCAGCAGCAGCTGCAGCTACAGCCCTAGCAGCAGCAGCAGCTGCAGCCCTAGCAGCAGCAGCAGCAGCTGCAGCTACAGCCCTAGCAGCAGCAGCAGCAGCTGCAGCCCTAGCAGCAGCAGCAGCTGCAGCTACAGCCCTAGCAGCAGCAGCAGCTGCAGCTTCAGCCCGAGCAGCAGCTACAGTCCTAGCAGCAGCAGCAGCTACAGCTGCAGCAGCAGCTACAGCCCTAGCAGCAGCTGCAGCTACAACCCTAGCAGCAGCTGCAGCCCTAGCAGCAGCAGCTACAGCTGCAGCAGCAGCGTTTGTTATCGCTCACTATTCATCTCACACCACACGATTCATCTCACACCGCGCTATTCATCTCACACCACACGATTCATCTCACACCGCGCTATTCATCTCACACCACACGATTCATCTCACACCGCGCTATTCATTTCAAGTTCAACTCCACAGCCGCCCCTCTCTCCTCTCCTCCCACGGGCTTTACAGCTCCAGGTGGAAACGTCCGTCGAGTCTTTTTGTTGTTGTGTGTGTGTATTTGTGTGTGTGTATTTATGTGTGTGTATTTATGTGTGTGTATTTATGTGTGTGTGTATTTATGTGTGTGTATTTATGTGTGTGTATTTATGTGTGTGTGTATTTATGTGTGTGTGTATTTATGTGTGTGTATTTATGTGTGTGTATTTATGTGTGTGTGTATTTATGTGTGTGTATTTATGTGTGTGTGTATTTATGTGTGTGTGTATTTATGTGTGTGTATTTATGTGTGTGTGTATTTATGTGTGTGTGTATTTGTGTGTGTGTATTTATGTGTGTATATTTATGTGTGTGTGTATATTATGTGTGTGTATTTATGTGTGTGTATTTATGTGTGTGTATTTATGTGTGTGTGTATTTATGTGTGTGTGTATTTATGTGTGTGTATTTATGTGTATTATGTGTGTGTATTATGTGTGTGTGTATTTATGTGTGTGTGTATTTATGTGTGTGTGTATTTATGTGTGTGTGTATTTATGTGTGTGTATTATGTGTGTGTGTATTTATGTGTGTGTATTTATGTGTGTGTGTATTTATGTGTGTGTGTATTTATGTGTGTGTATTTGTGTGTGTGTATATTTGTGTGTGTGTATATTTATGTGTGTGTGTATTTATGTGTGTGTGTATTTATGTGTGTGTGTATTTATGTGTGTGTGTATTTATGTGTGTGTGTATTTATGTGTGTGTATTTATGTGTGTGTGTATTTATGTGTTTGTATTTATGTGTGTGTGTATTTATGTGTGTGTATTTATGTGTGTGTATTTATGTGTGTGTGTATTGTGTGTGTGTATTTATGTGTGTGTATTTATGTGTGTGTGTATTTATGTGTGTGTGTATTTATGTGTGTGTGTATTTATGTGTGTGTGTATTTATGTGTGTGTGTATTTATGTGTGTGTGTATTTATGTGTGTGTGTATTTGTGTGTGTGTGTATTTGTGTGTGTGTGTATTTGTGTGTGTGTGTATTTGTGTGTGTGTGTATTTGTGTGTGTGTATTTATGTGTGTGTATTTATGTGTGTGGGTATTTATGTGTGTGTATTTATGTGTGTGTATTTGTATGGGGAGCGGTAGTGTAGCGGTTAGCGCGCTGCGCTATGAACCTGGCGGACCCGGGTTCGATTCCCGCTCACGGCTAACACCAGTGACGATTATCTGAACCGGTCCTGGGCCTCCCCTAGGTCGACTCAGCCTTAAATTAGTACCTGGTGCGGTGTGTAAACATCGCCACTGGGGAGACAAAGGCGGTCGGGCGTGGTGCTGGTCTCCCACCCCGTCGTGTACCGTTCCGGCCTTCATAGGTGCTCGCTAACAGCACTTGCCCCTACAGTCTGTTAAGGCTATACGGGGGATCTTTGTCTTTATATTTGTATTTGTGTGTGTATATATGTGTCATCTCAGTCAGTCGACCTGTGGCACCTGGGTCTGCCCGTGACCTCCTGCCAGCGGGCGTTCGACACTTCACGTGGCCTCAAGGTGCACATGGCCTGGCACAAGCGTCGTGGTGACGCCACCGCCACTTAGTGGCGAATGGCGGTTGTTGTCGTGTGTATTTGTGTATATATATAGGCGAGAGCTAAAAATATCCACCGCGCGTTTTTTTTGCACGCACCGCATCCGCCAGACCCGCCCGCCCTGTGAATGCCGCCTCGCGTTACTAATTGACTGCCAGCATGCAAATGGGACGCGGAAATGAATGAACGATTCGCAGGTCTCGCCAGCGCCTTGTGACGCCGTCGGCCTGCGATGTTGATGGCGTTTTGTGTTTTCGCATTTTAAATTGCTACTTTATCCGGGTCACATTGTTTGCACGTGCAAAACAAATATAGGAGGACGACGATGATGATGATGACGACGACGATAATGTGTGATGACCTATCGTTGTTTTTTTGCTGTTGAAGGTATTGCCCGCCCCCCTGTCTAACTGGTCATTTGTCATCAGAACCATATCTCAAAGTAGATAAACCCCCGCCTACCACTCACCCCCTCTTTTAAGGTAGTTGGGAACAGATAAAAATACAATGCAAAATGCATTTAAACTCGTTATAAATCAAACAAATATGCATCGTGTGTGTTTGCGTGTTGCGATGAGTACTCACGTGGACCTCCATGCCCAAAGATCTGCGGTGCCAGAATTTGGATTTTTTTCGGCCACGACCCCCAAAGGCCACCGCTAAACCCCAGGAACGTCATCCCCTGAACCCTGACGACGATGACGTCCAGTCACCTCGTGACCCCGATCCGTGCCTTCATCACGTCCAGCCCGCGGCAACTTTAACTCATCTCCCGCCTCCCCAAATTTTTTTTTATAAAAACAAAAATCGCTCACCGACAAACCGCAAGAGCCATAATAGAGGTTTTTTTGGGTTAATATATAAATGTGTCGTTAAAACCCGCCACCACCCGACACAGCCAACTAGTAAGGGTTGTCACGTAAACAGAACGTGGCCAATTCGTCACTAGTACAGCACTAGTGTGTAGTGTCGTGTATAGTGAAGTGTATAGTGAAATGTATAGTAGTGTATAGTGTAGTGTATAGTAGTGTATAGTGTAGTGTATAGTGAAGTGTATAGTGTAGTGTATAGTGAAGTGTATAGTGTAGTGTATAGTGAAGTGTATAGTAGTGTAGTGTATAGTAGTGTATCGTGTAGTGTATAGTGTAGTGTATAGTGTAGTGTATAGTGTTGTGTACAGTGTAGTGTATAGTAGTGTAGTGTATAGTGTAGTATACTAGTACAGCACACCGGTTGTGTGTTGGAGAGCCAAGCCACAACATTTACAATCCTAGTACGACGTTTCGCCAGTAATTACAACCAGCTTCATCAGGCGGCAGCCAAACCGCAAGACAACGCAGCCCAGACTCGTCACCCGCCTCCATTCCAATTCTCCGATCTCGTCCACGGTATCCCGATCCAATCTCACGTCAACCATCTTCCAGATCGTCCGCAGACTCCTCCCTGCCGACCTCTCGCGCCTCAACCCCAGTCCACTCGCCTGGATCCACTCGCCTGGATCCACTCACCTGGATCCACTCGCCTGCCTCCACTCGCCTGGATCCGCTCACCTGGATCCGCTCGCCTGGATCCACTCACCTGGATCCACTCACCTGCCTCCACTCGCCTGCATCCACTCGCCTGCATCCACTCGCCTGCCTCCACTCGCCTGGATCCACTCACCTGGATCCACTCACCTGCCTCTACTCACCTGGATCCACTCACCTGGCTCCACTCACCTGGATCCACTCGCCTGCATCCACTCGCCTGCATCCACTCGCCTGCCTCCACTCGCCTGGATCCACTCACCTGGATCCACTCACCTGCCTCTACTCACCTGGATCCACTCACCTGGCTCCACTCGCCTGCATCCACTCGCCTGCATCCACTCGGCCTGTGTAAGAGTGGAGGGGCTGCTGGGGGCTTTGGGACTGCCGACCGACGGGCGCTGTGCTTGTTTTTTGGGTGCGGGGCGTTGTAGGCAGCCTGACGGGGTATCGCCCCCATCCCTTGCGGCCGCGGCCGCGGCCGGGGATGGGGTCGGGGACCACGGGGCTCCCTCCACGCAAGTTCCGTAGGACGCATTGCTGGGCCTCGGGTTGGACGACTGGGGACGTCTTCAGATGGAAGACGTCTCCCTCCTCAAATTGAGACGCCGCGCTAGGGATGCCGAGGGTCACAGGGGGCAGGGGGCCCCGTATCAGTTGTCATCCGGGAAGGCGTCCTCGTGCATTGGGATGGGGGGGGTCCCAATCCCACACGTTGGTGGTGCCCACCTCCCTGCGGGGGCGACTTGTGTGGGAAACCCACAGTCGCCTCTTGCACTTGGGTGTTCAGAACACACGAGCTAAAATCCAATTGGAAATTTTCTGGCCGGGCATGGCAAACGATGTGGCTGACCTTGTGCAAGGTTGCACAGAATGTGCACCGCGGAAACCACCTGCTAGGCCGTCCTGCCCGCCGCTCCAATCCATTAAGGTTTCCCGGGTCAATGAGATCGTCGCATTGGATATTTTGGGTCCGTTTCCCGCTACTCCTCGGGGTAGTAAGTACCTTTTGGTTGGGGTGGAATATTTTACCCGATGGGCCATGGCCTGGCCACTCCCCAACCAGTCTGCAGCAGCCATTACGGAGGCCTTTTTTTAAGGCTACGTCCTGGATAAGGGTGCTCCCGAACGCCTGCTGACCGACCAAGGGAAACATTTCTCTTCCACCCTGTTGCGGGATGTGTGCAACCTGCTAGAGACACACAAAATTCGCACCTCGCCATATCACCCCCAAACTGACGGTATGGTCGAGCGATTACATAGGACACTTACCTCCATGCTAAGCCACCAGGTGTCTGAGTCACAGACTGATTGGGATCTCCACATACCTGGTGTCTTGGCCGCCTATAGAATGGCGCCCCATGTTGCCACGGGGTACTCGCCATTCTATGTTATGTATGGTAGGGAGGTTTGCCCCCCAATCGACATACAATTGCGCATTAAACATCCCGCACCTAAGGCTAAGATTGCCGACCACATCCGTGCTAATGTGCGTCGTCTCGTGGATGCCCGGGAGGCTGCTCAAAATAACTCAGAAGCCCGTCAGCTTGCCAACGAGCGGTTGCGGAACCTCCGCACGTCCCGCCACGTTTGGGTAGAAGGGGACCGCGCCTGGCTCCACTGCCCGCAGGTACCATTGGCTACTTCCTCAAAACTGCTTAAGCCTTGGAGAAGCCCGGTTGTTATTATCCGCGTTCTCCGCCCGCAGTGTGTCAGGATCCAGCATGGCAAGCGCCGTTGGTTCGTGCACTCGTCACGTCTAAAACCTTACATTCAACCCAACACACCTCCTTCACTTCTCGGGGCCCGAGAACACGACATGTCCGACGAGCCGCGCCGCGATGATGCTGGATCTTACTCTCGGCCAGGTCCCGCTGTCCCGCCCTCAGGTGCCTCGGGAATGAAACCCGCCACGGCCGACCCAGCGGGAACAAGCTTGCCCGCGGGATCAGCGACCCAGGACACTAGCGCAACAACGGGTCGTCAGTCCCCTCCCGCCTCCATCCCGGCCGATGGACCTGCCACTCGGACTCGCTCCAAACTCAAACGATTTTCATGACCCCCGCCCACGAACTCTCGTCCCAACGCGCCGCCACTCACCTTGCCATCATGTATAGTGGGCGGTTGGGGCGTGCGTTCATCCTGCATATGTGTTTATACATTGTTGTTCTGCATCGGTGGCGTGGAGTTTTTTTTATATACGCGTGACCACAGGAGGGGGAGAGGCGCTTTCTTCTCATATTTCTTGTTTTGTCATCCATTTTGTCATTGACACGCATACACTCATTCTGATGGTTAACAAATAATTTATTGTACCATTGTATTTTTTGACAGCCGGGTTGGTTGGAGGCTACGTAGAGGGGGGTAATGTAGTGCCATAAGAGGGGAGGGGCTGCTGGGGGCTCTGGGACCCTAGACAGATAAGCCCTCGGCTTATCTGTCTAGGGTCTAGCTGTGTGTGCTCTGTGGGATATCTGGGGGCGCACACAACCCCACCCCTCGTTGGGGACGAGGCATAAAAGGGCAGCTCCCTGGCCGATCGGGGACAGTCGCAGCTCAAGACCCAAGACCTGCCAGCCAGCCAGCTTAGGAACCTGGACCCCCTCGTCCCGCTTGTCCTTGTAAGGGCCGGGACGCTGTGAGGGCCAGTGGTGGGACTCTGGGACTCCCGGCTCTACGTCCTTGTAAGGGTGAGTTCTGAGGAAGCCAGAGTCCAGACCCGCACCTTGGCTGGGTCGGGTCAGGTAGCCTCCCCTAGGGTAATTGTAGCTGGAGGACCCCAGAGCGTAGCCAGAGTAGTGTATCTAGGCTGTGTACCTAGGCTGTGTACCTCGGCTGTAACAGAGTATCAGGACTGTTGGAGTGTTGTATTGTAATAAAGAAGTTACCTCTACACGTGTCTCCGGAACCCATTACACCTGGATCCACTCGTCTGGATCCACTCGCCTGGATCCACTCGCCTGGATCCACTCGCCTGGATCCACTCGCCTGGATCCACTCGCCTGGATCCACTCGCTGTCCCATGTGCTCTCTGCTCCAGCCGACAAAGGCGCACAGCTGATGCTCCCCCCCGGCCAAGTCACCCCCCCCCTTGGCTCAGTGGAAACTCGCCCTCTGCCCCACCTCCACACGGCCCCCCACAATCCGTAAACTCCCTCCCTAGCCCCCCACAATCCGTAAACTCCCTCCCGCGCCCCCCACAATCTGTAAATTCCCTCCCTAGCCCCCCACAATCCGTTAACTCCCTTCCTAGCCCCCCACAATCCGTAACCTCCCTCCCGAGCCCCCCACAATCCGTAAACTCCCTCCCGAGCCCCCCACAATCCGTAAACTCCCTCCCGAGCCCCCCACAATCCGTAAACTCCCTCCCGAGCCCCCCACCCACGGTCTGTGCTGTCAACTCCTCGCCCCCCCGCCTCTTTCTCTCGCCTGTGACACCGACCCGCGTCTTCCCCGTTGAAGGTTCACGGACATCGCGAACAAGAATGTGCATGCGCCTCCCCCCCGGCGCGCTCCCTCCGTTGTCCTGCGTGGGTGTAATGGGGGCAGAAGTGGTGCGAAGCGGTGACGAGGCACGGCAGGCGTCCTCTGTTCTAACACCGTTTTGAGACGAGGCTCAACAGAAAGCTGTCTCTGGTGTGGACCAATCAGTTTCAAGGACAATGATTACATTATCAGAGTGTGTTTTTCGTTTGCACCATAATGCTTGTGGTCAGATGCAGACGTGATTCCTTGTAAAAAGGTTTCAGTTTGGTGTTTTAACATCTTAACACAGCTGTTATCAAATGAATGGTGTTTCAGCGACAAGTAAACAAAGCCATCCTTTGTTTGTCTTTGAGGAATTCGTCGGAAGGGGGAAAAGAAAATCTAAGAATATCACCGCTTATTATGATGATCATCATCGTCATTGTTGTTGTTGTCGTCGTTTTATAATTATCGCATTACTCCTGCGACCACTCCGGGGTCCCATCAGGCAAAAAAAATCCGGCCAACCACAAATTATAAAAAATTTTAACCGCCCCAACTGCAAATAAATCACTAATAAGAAACGCCCGTTGCTATTAAATACATTAAAATCCGCCCAACCACAAATTATAAAAAATAAAATTAGAATATAAAACCGCCCAACCACAAATAATTCAAAAATTAAATATATAAATCGCCCAACCACAAATATATATATTTTCATAAAATTCGCCCAACCACAAAAAAGAAAAAAATTAATAAAAAATTCGCTCAACCACAAATAATAAATAATAAAATAAGATGTAAAACCACCCAAATAAAAAAGCCGGCTGGGCTTGCAACGTTCGAGCAGAACGCAGTGGCGCGTGCATCGATCTGACGTGGGCAGCTGAACAAATCACCGTCAGCGGCGATATCGGTTGCAACACAGGTGGGGAGGCAAGGCAAGGCAGGGCAGGCAGGCAGGGCAGGTGGGACAACGTTTACACACCGAACCGGGACCTCATTTGAGGCTGAGTCAACCGAGGGGAGAGGCCGAGGACGGGGATGGTAGCGCTAACCACTGCGCCACCGCCCCCCACCACACATCGCAGACACACAAAAGACAAAGATCCCCCATGTAGCCTTAACAGACTGCAGGAGCAAGTGCCGTTAGCGAGCAGCACCTATGAAGGCCGACACTGCACACGAGGGGGTGGGTGGCCAGCACCACGCCCGGCCGCCTTTGTCTCCCCAGTGGCGATGTTTACTGCACACCGCACCGGGTACTCATTTGAGGCTGAGTTGACCTAGGGGAGGCCCGGGACCGGTTCAGATGATCGTCACTGGTGTTGGCTGGGAGCGGGAATCGAACTCGGGTCGCCGGGTTCGTAGCGCAGCGTAGCGCTAACCGCTGCACCACCGCTCCCCTACACACGCATACACAGTGACACACACACATACGTACACAACAACAACCCTCATTCTCCACTAAGTGGCGGTGACGTCACCACAGCGCTTGTGCCAGGCTAGGTGCACGTTGAGGCCACGTGAAGTGTCGAACGCCCGCTGGCAGGAGGTCACGGGGCAGACCCAGCAGGTGCCACGGGTCGACTGACTGAGATGACCGAGATGACTGGCTGATGCACCACCTGTGCCCCCTACTGTACCAACTTGCTGTGCTTTAACCACCCGGCGCTCCGCTTGTTGTTGTGAGCGTCGCTCCTCTGCCCTCCGTTGTTGCTGGAGGGCGTGGGGGGTAGGGGGGGATTTGCCCTCCTCGTGCGCGTCACCTCCAAGCGCCTCTCACATCGGGAAGAATACCGAGGGGGGGTGGGGGAGCGCGCTCCACCCCCCCCCCCCCGGGGTATGACAGCGAGAGCGTGAGGCAAGGCTGGAGATGACGGCTGTCAGGTCGCGACGCACGGCCTCTCGTCACCGCGAGATGTTCCAACCGGCTCACCTCGTGTCGCAACCCTCGCGGACGCAGCGATGCAGA